TAAAAATTAGGTTTTCAAAATTTTCCCCAAATTTTACCGATTAAAAACTGCGTAAATGTAAATAGAGAAGAGTAGAGAAGATTACACAGTAGGTTTATACTGGTTCGGATCAAAAGACCCTACGTCCAGTTGCTAATCACTCAAAAGAGGATTAACGCTGTCACTAAGAACAAATTGTTACAAACAGATTACAAATGAACGAGATAAAGATCGAGTACACCTCTCTTGAAATCCACAAGAGATGATGAACAGCTTTCCCCGCAGACGGCACAACACACAATCCACTAAGAACTCCACTTAGTGATTCTTATCGCTTCTAGCCCACACCAGGTTCGAAAGCCCCCTTTCCTTGCAACAAACAGTTCTCCGGCACTCACAAGGCACTTAACTTTTGTATGGAAAAGGTTGTTCTACTTTTCTCGAGTGCCAAAGCGAGTTTAAGTAGGGAAATTAGGGTTTAGGAATTGGGGATTTCGAAACTAGGGTTCTTGGTAATTGGATTTTCGAAAATAGGGTTTGTTTGATGTTTAAAATCAGAAACAGATCGAAATAATCGATTATTTGGAGTAATAATCGATTAAAACAGAGCCAAATACGTCGTAACCCAATCCTCTCTGGTTTAATCGATTATTTGATGAAATAATCGATTATCTCATACTGAATCGTACGGAATAATCGATTATTTTGTCTGTTTAATCGATTAAAACAGTGAGTTTTAGACAGAAAATGGTTTTCTCATCTGTTTTAATCGATTATATACCTATTTAATCGATTAAAGCCGAACTCGCATGATAAATTTGAGCATTTTGAAGCTTCTAAGTTACAGACTATGTACCGGCTATCTTAGACTCTAAAATTACAGACTCAATCAAGCTAAAACAGAGTTATTACAATACAGAAATCATCAATCTTCAATCTTCAATACTCTAAGTCTTTAAGCTCTTGGATCATCATCAAAATCAACATTCTTCATGATCATTATTTGCAACATCAAGTCCTTGAATGTTCAACAACTTCATGTTATTTTTATTGTGTAGGTCACATATGATGTCCCTAACATCACTTTGTTGAGGACAAAGTGGATCTCATATGCTGGGGAACGCTGGAGAGGTTTTAAGAGTGATCTGACTAGTCGATACATATATGGGGCATTGAGCAACAAGAACCCATGTGACCAGTATCAGTTTTTGGATGAGGAGACATGGCAGGCATTTCGGACTCAGCGTTTAGACGCTAGCTTTCAGGTTAGCACATTTGTCATTTGTTTGCAGTCATTTTTTTTAAATAGAGGTTTTAAATTTGGTATTTAACATGGAATGCAACGAAGCCAAGCGGCGAAGGCACGGGATATTCGGAGAAAGAATATCCACCCCCACGAGTTGTCTCGTGGGGGTTATGAGAAATTGGAGGAGAAGATGATGAAGGAGACTTCTTCAAGTCTACCTTCGGATGACTCGGTTGTGAGTTCCGTCACCCGCCCTTCACGCCATGATAAATGGAAGAGAGCTCGCCAGAACTCATCGGGGAATTACTTATCCGAGCAAACTAATGTTGCTCAACATATTGTAAGTAGCATATCCTAAACTAATTATATATGTTATACTAGAATAGGCATATGTATTTGCTAAAAAATCATTCCTTTGTGTTGTAGGATGAGTTGGTTGAGCAGAGCACTCGGGGATCATTCCACCCACATGGCCGTCGAATATATTGGCAGTGGCCATTGGTACCCCAGAGCATCCTGGACGTGTTCGTGGTGCTCGGACGAGGGGTGGGCATCGAGACAGTACTTTGGTGCCCCATCCGTGGCAACTCCTTCTTTGAGGCATCTCGAATGAGCAAGAGTTTGAGTCCCTCAAACAACAAATTAGGAAGGAGATTCGAGATGAGGTGTACTCGACTTGAAGGCAGAGTTATTGAGCTCAATGCGAGCGAGTTGGCATCTTTATCCTCTCAACCTTACGTCCCCGCACGAGAGGCATCCCAGATTCATGTCGAGCACAAAGGAGAGTTGTGATGCTCCCGATAGAGGGGCGAGAGGTTGCTCCTACCGACACTCGCTGATCGTGAGTTGTATGTTGCGGGTCCTCCCGAGCATTTGGTGGCATATGGTACGTATTATATCTTTGACATGTATTTGGTACAGTGTTAAGCATTATATAGTCTAAAATATTTTATCCTTTGTTTACCTTAGGGAAAATGTATGCATTGGGGTCAATCATCCACCACCGAGTATTGGAGATGATATGATAAGAGTGGTGGTTGTAGATGTCCGGGATGTTGCTGCCCTAATCCCTATTCCCATCGAAGAGGTTCAAACAAGTGGGACAAGCACCTGGAAATTTTATCTTATGGCCGGTTTCATTAACAAGACCCATCCCAACACATGCACAGGTTGATTTATGCATTGAACGATAGTACTTATTATTTTTTGATAGGTTGATGTATATTAATGTTATTGATTTTTGGTACTTGTATAGAAAGAGGCTGAAAAAGCAAAGAAAGTTGTGCATGAATCACCACCACCACCATCTCGCTTTACGACGAGTTGGTGCACTCGGCAGCGACTATCGGGACCACTTCCATACAGTTAGATATGCCACCCAAAGTCGTATGCGGGACCAAGACGATCCCTTTTTTCTTACTCCAAAGGGATATTTTTGATATTCTCACTGGTATCGATATGTTATGTGTATCGGTGTTGCGGCTTTGGGAAATGTAAGTATATTTACATATTTTTTATATTCTCACTGGTACATTATTTTATAACTTTATTTATTTTCAATGTTGAAGGTATTTACATCATTTGTGTGTTGAGAGGAAGATCCGCTTTCTCTATGGATTTGTTGACCCTGTTGCCATTCAGCCCGTTGGGAATAAAGCTGAAGAGGTGTAAATGTACTTAATAGAGGCATTTCAAACTGGGGGCAAAGAAGTCTACTTAGCACCTTACTTGCATCAGTAAGTATACATCTTATAAATTAATGCACATTTATGTAAAACTGAAATTTTACTAATATTATTTCAACGTGCAGGGGTCATTGGCAGCTCATAATCATTGTTCCTCGGCAATTTCTTGTGATTCTCTTGTGTTCATTACACAAGAAACCAAATGATTTGGATATTAGAAAGCACATAGATGCGTAAGTTTGGTTTTTTTAATTGTTGTATCATATGTGCACTATTTACACCAAAATTATTTGTCCTTTTGTAGAGCTTTGGAAGCTCACCTAAGGTTGCAAGGCCTTCCATCTCATGCTAGAAAGAAGTTGACGTATATTGCACCAAATGTGACCAAACACCTCTTAGTGTTGTTCAATTTGTCATTTAAAGTTAATCTGACATGTATTTAACTTGTAGTGTCCACGCCAACCGGGAAGCCATGAGTGCGGGTATTATGTGATGAAGCACATGCACACCATCGTAGCCAAAAATATTATGGGCTCATGGAGGGAGGTAAATATACTATAATTAACTCAAATATGCCAATTATGTAAATGATTTCTAAATCTGAAATGTTTCAATATGTAGGAATTTACGAGACTCATCTCCAATGAAGATTGAAGTGTTAGACGATATTAGAGAGCAAGTGGGCTTCTTTCCTATTAAGTATTCAATCTTCATAGCAAATTTGACTTGTAACAATTTAGATTGAATTGATTTAAGTTAGCAAATTTACATTCGTTTAAGTAAATGAACTGTCCGGAACTGAGGTACATATATTGATTTCAATATGTTTCATATGTACATATCTCGTCCATGACTCGGATCCGTACTGCATCTGGATATATATCCGTAGCAAATTTATATATGAACTGTGCATATCCGTGCATGCATCGGATCTGTGAATATTTGTTTGGAACTCGTGATGAATAGGCGAGTCTACTCGAAGAAAGGTAGCATCTCGTAAAGAAAATGCAGGTATTTAAAAAAAATAACACTTTCTACGTCGGTTATGTCATTACCCGACGTAGAAAGTACTTTCTACGTCGGTTAATGACATAACCGACGTAGAAAGTGTAACATTTTATGTCGGTTATAGGCATAGCCGACATTGATAACACATACAATCACGATTCATGTTAACCGATATAGATACTGGGGTTATAGAAAGTTAGAAAGTAAGACTTTCTATGTCGGTTATAAGTTTAACCGACATAGAAAGTAAGACTTTCTATGTCGGTTATCGGTGTTAACCGACATAGAAAGTATTATGATAGGTCGGAATCGGTTATGATCGATCAGAATAGCTCTATGACCGATCAGAACCAGTTATGACCGATCAGAATAGCTCATAGAAAAAAAGACTTTCTACGTCGGTTCCCTGACTAACCCACGTAGAAAGTCTTTCTATGACCGATCAGAACCAGTTTTGACCGATTATAATAGCTCATAGAAAGTAGGGCTTTCTACGTCGGTTCCTAATAACCGACGTAGAAAATCTTACTTTCTATGACCTTCGTATCTATGTCGCCGCTTTAACCGACGTAGAAAGCCCATTTTAACCGATGTAAAAAGCCTTTTTTGCAGTAGTGGGAAGAAGTTCCATCTGCCCACGGAGTCCCACTCTGCATACATGAAACAACAAAATAGTAAGGATTTTAGGTTAGCACTAAATTGATAGACACACCCATTGAGAAAAATTTCCATAGATATTTTTAGAAGAAAAAAATAATATAAAATAATTAGTTCTTTCAATAAATTAAAATTAATTTATTAAAGTTCTTTCTTGTAGTCGTTTTATTTTTATTTTATTAACCTCTGAATATGCTAGTTTATGGAAATATAAAACTTTTTCTTTTATTTTCTTTTCTCTTAAAAGTGTTTTTATATATATATATATATATATATATATATATATATATATATATATATATATATATATATATATATATATAAAGACAATGTCTGAAAAAATCAACAAATATATATGTAACATATATTGAAATTAACAATACATAATTAGGTGAGGACGAGAGAAAAAGTATAAACAAGAGAACCTGTCTGATTCCATGCCAGTGAATGAATGACTGTTCCCTCAGTGAAAAGCTTGTTGGTGAGAGCAATATCAAGAGTGTCACCAACTTCAGCCCTAATAGTTGGTCCTGGAAACTGGCCGTTGATTCCCATCACAACGTGTTCCAAGCAATCTGGCGATTTGATCATGTACTCCACATCAAACTTGTAGTGCCTCACCCTTCCTCCTACAGCAAAATCCACCAACCCCAACCATATGAACCAAACAAAAACTGTTTTCATCCCCATTCTCACTTTGCTAAGACAAAACCTCAGCAACTGGGTCTCAACAAACACAAGAAGCCACCGCTGAACAAAAAGGAACTCAGATAGATTTATGAATAAAAGAATAGGTTATGTTTGGATGCTGGCACCATTTCCCTAGGCAGACATATATATAGACAAAAAGTGCTATTGAAATTCACATAATCTGCTGGTGAGTTGGTTTTGTGGTTATTTTAATCTTGCAAATAGCGAGCAACTTTTTTGAATACATCAACTATCAACTTCTTGTTCCTATATTCTTTTTTTAACCACAGCATAAGGTATGAATTTTTATATAAACACTACAAGAAAAATTCATTTTAGCGACCGAAAAAATCGGTCACTAAATCAATAACAAAGTTAATTATTTTTATTTATTTACTTTATTATTTATTTCCCCTACCTCTTTTTATATTATATTTTTACTTATTTAAGTTTTTATTTATATTTTTTAGAAGTTTAACTTATTGCTATATTTATTGTCATTGTCGGGATTCGAACCTAGGTATCTTAGAATTGGAGATTGAAACTCCAACCACTCGAACTACTTGGATTTTTTATTAATAACTTACAAATAAATTATATTTATATACAAATAAATGTATATCCAGTATAAATATATAAATATAAAATATATAAATAAAAATATATTTATATATTTTAATATATATTTAAATATTGATATATTTATGCATTGATATATTTAAATATTGATATATTGATATATTTATATATTTATATCTTTATATTTTTACATATATTTATATCTTTCCATATTTATATATTTATATATAAAGATATTAGTTTTGTATACAAATAATATTATAATATAGTATATTATACTATTAGTATAGTATACAAATTATATATTAGTATAGTATAGCATACAAATTATTAATTTTATAATTTATATACAATGAAAATAATATAATGGTATATTAGTATAGAATATTTGTATTCTAATTTTTAATTAAATTAAAATTATGCTAATAATGTATAATAATATATGAGGGGATAATAAATTTAATCCAATTACTTTTATAAATATATAAATATAAAATCTATAAAATATTAAAAATGATATTATATTTTTAAAAAGAAATATTAGAAAAAGGTTTAAAAACATATATAAATTATATTTATATGTCCAAAATATTAAAGATATCCACATTTAAAAAAATACTAAAAAATATTAAAAATTATACTTTAAATTGATGAAAATATTTTAAAAAAGTTATATTTATTAAAGTATTAAAAAATATTTTGTAATATATAAATTAAAAAAATTATCATTAAATTTTTTAAAACATATTAGTTTTGTAATTTATACACAATAAAAATAAATTACAAATATTATAACTTAATGGTATATTAATATAATATAATATATTTGTATTCTAATTTTTAATTAAACTAAAATTACGCTAATAATGTATAATAATATATGAGGGGATAATATTGATATATATATATATATATATATATATATATATATATATATGAAAAAAAATTAAATATTAAATTTTAAAAATAATATTATATTTTTAAAAATAAATATTAGAAAAATATTTAAAAATATATATAAATTATATTTACATGTACAAAATATTAAAGATACATATATTTATATCTTTACATATTTATATATTTATATCTTTATATTTTATATCTTTATAACTTTACATATATTTATATATTTATATATTTATATATTTATATATTTAAGAAAAAATTAAAAATTTAAATATTAAATTTTAAAATAATATTTTATTTTTAAAAAATAATATTAGAAAAATGTTTAAAAATATATATAAATTATATTTACATATACAAAATATTAAAGATATATATATATATATATATATATATATATATATATATATCTTTACATATTTATATATTTATATCTTTATATATTTATATCTTTAGATTTTTACATATATTTATATCTTTATATATTTATATCTTTATATTTTTACATATATTTATATCTTTCCATATTTATATATTTATATATAAAGGTATTAGTTTTGTATACAAATAATATTATAATATAGTATATTATACTATTAGTATAGTATACAAATAATATATTAGTATAGTATACAAATTATTAATTTTGTAATTTATATACAATGAAAACAATATAATGGTATATTAGTATAGTCTAGTATATTTGTATTCTAATTTTTAATTAAACTAAAATTACGCTAATAATGTATAATAATATATGAGTGGATAATAAATTTAATCCAATTACTTTTATAAATATAAAATCTATAAAATATTAAAAATAATATTATATTTTTAAAACCAAATATTAGAAAAAAGATTAAAACATATATAAATTATATTTATATGTCCAAAATATTAAAGATATCTACATTTAAAAAAATACAAAAATATTAAAAATTATATTTTAAATTGATGAAAATATTTTTATAAAGTTATATTTATTAAAGTATTAAAACATATTCTGTAATATATAAGTTAAAAAAATTATCATTAAATTTTTTAAAAATTATTAGTTTTGTAATTTATACATAATAAAAATAAACTACAAATATTATAATATAATGGTATATTAATATAATATAATATATTTGTATTCTAATTTTTAATTAAACTAAAATTACGCTAATAATGTATAATAATATATGAGAAGATAATATTGATATATTTATATTTTGATATATTTATATATTGATATATTTATATATTTATATATTGATATATTTATTTATATTCTTATACATTTATATATTTAAAAAAAAATAAAAAATAAAATATTAAAATTTAAAAATAATATTATATTTTTAAAAATAAATATTAGAAAAAGATTTAAAAATATATATAAATTATATTTACATGTACAAAATATTAAAGATATATATTTATATCTTTACATATTTAAATATTTATATATTTATATTATATATCTTTACATATATTTATATATTTATATATTTATATATTTATATATTTATATATTTATATTCTTATACATTTATATATTTAAAAAAAAATAAAAATTTAAATATTAAAAATTAAAAATAATATTATATTTTAAAAATAAATATTAGAAAAAGATTTAAAAATATATATAAATTATATTTACATGTACAAAATATTAAAGATATATATTTATATCTTTACATATTTAAATATATAAATATTTATATTATATATCTTTACATATATTTATATTTTTATATATTTATATATTTATATATTTATATATTTATATATTTATATATTTATATATTTATATATTTATATATTTATATATTTATATATTAATATATTAATATATTAATATATATATATATATATATATATATATATTTATATATTTATATACTTATATATTTATATACTTATATATTTTAAATATTAAAAATTAAAAATAATATTATATTTTTAAAAATAAATATTAGAAAAAGATTTAAAAATATATATAAATTATATTTACATGTACAAAATATTAAAGATATATATTTATATCTTTACATATTTAAATATATAAATATTTATATTATATATCTTTACATATATTTATATTTTTATATATTTATATTTTTATATATTTATATATTTATATATTTATATATTTATATATTTATATATTTATATATTTATATATTTATATATTAATATATTTATATATTATATATATATATATATATATATTTATATATTTATATACTTATATATTTATATACTTATATATTTATATACTTATATACTTATATACTTATATACTTATATACTTATATATTTATATATTTATATATTTATATATTTATATATTCATATATTGATATATTTACATATTTACATATTTGTATATTTATTTATATTTTTACATATTTATATCTTTATATATTTATATATGTAAAAAAAAATAAAAAATTTAAATATTAAATTTTAAAATAATATTTTATTTTTAAAAACAAATATTAGAAAAAGGTTTAAATATATATATATATATATATATATATATATATATAAATTATATTTACATGTATAAAATATTAAAGATATATATTTCTATCTTTACATATTTATATATTTGTATCTTTATATATTTATATTTTTACATATATATATATATATATATATATATATATTCTTGTAGGTTTTACTTCCAAGTCTCCTATTCTTTTAAGAATAGACAAAGGCATTAGATTTATACTAGCACCTAAATCAAGTAATGCCTTACCTACTTGTAATGTCTCAATTGTGACTGGAATATTGAAACTACCAGGATCCTTGGACTTTTGAGGTAATGATTTCTGAATTATAGTGTTGGATCCTGCTTCTAGCTCCACTGTTTCTGTAGTAAATCTCCTTTTCTTAGTTAACAACTCTTTCATGAATTTTGCATAAGTCGGCATCTGCTCCATAGCTTCCATAAATGGAATATTAATATGTAAATGCTTGAAAATATCTTGCAAATTGTCTTTCTTTATCTTTCTTTGAAGGATGATAAAGATATGGTAAATCCTTTAATTGCGATATTTGACTCTCATCTTTCTCCCTCTTTTTCTCACTTTTTTTTTATTTTTCTTCTTTTTCAATATTTTTTTCTTTTTCTAAACTCTCACTTTTATTTTTCTCTTTTTCTCCTTCACACTCATCTTTCTTCTTTTCATCCTCTTTTTCTTGTAAGATTTACTTCTCTACAGCCAGGTTCTCTACATCCTCTTTTCATCACTTTATGTGGAAGAGATTAAAACTCTTCACTGGCATCGCTATTAAACTGAGCGTCAAACCTATCCTCTAGATTACAGACCCTATCATCTACATCAGAGATACGACGAATGATTTCCTCATGCCGTACTTCAGAAAGGGTGAAAAATTCCTGCATTTTCTTATTCATATCAAACAACATCTCTTCCATAGATTGTCAGGATGCAGGAGGGGCAGAAGAAGATGTTCCATCAGGATGAATATGTTCAGAGGGAGACTCAGCAGCAGGAGGC